AACTGGTTCCAACCCCGATAATAAACGAATTCGCTGTTAGTTCAATTTGTGCCTGAATTACTCTTTAGATAGTATCTGATTCATGTGCATTATAGTAGGTAACTTTCAGTCATACCTCGTATTGATGCTGCTGCTGCTCAATGCAAAAGCCATATTCTACTTTCAAGTCCAAGTGTAAGCATGTATAATAGAGCCAGCTTACAATGTGATCGGAGCAGTGAAAAAATATGTACCCCTTCTAGTGAATTCATCGAAGAAAGCGTATCGAAAATAAAAGTGAAACTCCAGGCGCTGATTTAAAATACAGTGGAACGAATCGTTAAAATAATTGATGTAGAACTCAACCAGTATATGCATTGCAACGATATAAATTCTACAGAATTGGTTCGTCTACGGGAACAAACTTGAAAATTTATAATGCCGGGACCAGATCTGGAGAAGACAGGTTACAGTTGTGCGGGATGCCATCTGCCGGATAGCGTCGAAGGCGAGATGGTGTTTTGAAACCATTGCCAAAGATGGTACCATTTTGGGTGCGCTGGTGTGACGGACAAAGTTAAGGATGTCTCCTGGCAATGAGCTGGATTACCGAGCTGAAGCAATCGGTTAAGTTGTGTGAGTGAAACCCCTGTACGATACAAGCAATTAGTGACGTCACTAATTGCGTTGACGTTGATTTTTTAGTTTACTAATACAACAATATTTTATGATCTGCTTCACCTCTCTCTGTACCTCATTGGTCTCCTGGTGCTGTAAAGGGTGTAGCTCCAGGGTGTATTAGAGTAGCTGCGGATAAATCGAGTCCACCTGCGTTAGAAGAGGAGTTGGGTAAACTCGATAAGGAGATGGAGGAGCAAAGGTAGGCTTTGGAGATCGAAAAGATCCTGGGAAAAAAGCGACTCGAACACCAGCGCAAGATGTTTTTGTTGCGCCAGCAAGTAGAAAAAGAAAAACGCGATATGGAGTTAGCGTTTGAAAAGGAGCAATTGGAACAGGAGTTAGCGGAAGAAGAAGCTCACCTGAAGAAACGCGATCAAGTGCTGCAGAAGGTGCAGAACAACTTAAAGCTGTTGAAGATCGATCCGGCTGTGAAGATGGATGTAGGAAAAGGAAGCGGACAGGAAGAAGGTGAATACGCATCGAAGGACGAAGATGGGAAGAAGAAGAAAACGAAGCTACAATGGAGAAGGAAAAGCCAGGAAGAGGAAAGTCCGAGAAGGAAAAGTCGGAGAAATACCGCCTGGAGAAAGCGGATCCAAAAGATGCAAGCAAAGGAGACCAAGTGGCCGGTGGTGTACCTGGTTTGCTTTCCAGTTCCCACAAGAAGAATACCCCACTTGGGCATCCGGATTTGCTTACGAAAAAAAAGAAGAGCAAGAAGCAGTCAATCGAGGTCAAGGAAAGCAGCGAAGAAGAAGATAGTTCCGGCGCCAGTGATGATGAGGAGGAAATCGATTCGGAGAAGTAGGGATCAGAAGAAGACGACAAGGATTCGGAAGAATCAGAATAGGAGGAAGAAAGTTCGTCGGAACAAGATGTTGTAATCCAGAATCGTCCGAAGAATCTGCATCGTCAGCCATCAAAGAGCCAACTGTCGGCTCGACAATTCCTGGGGAAGAAGCTGCCAGTATTCTCCGGAATGTTGGAAGAGTGGCCGATGTTCATAAGCGCATATGAAACATCAAATGAAGCTTGTGGGTTTTCCGACGTCGAAAACTTGGCTCGACTTCAGGAGTGCTTGAAAGGCCAAGCACTAGAGTCAGTGCGCATTAGATTGCTTCTCCCTAAAGCAGTACCATAGATCATCGAAACCCTAAATATGCTTTATGGGAGACCGGAGCAAGTGTTAAACATGCTGCTGTCGAAAGTTAGAAAGGCGCCCGAAAGCAGATAAGCTGGCTACGTTCATTCAGTTGGGCGTTGTCGTTCAGCAACTGGTGAATCATTTAGAAGCTACCGATCTCACCACGCACCTGATGAATCCAATGCTGATGCAGGAATTGACGGAAAAGCTGCCCGCCAGTACCCAGTTGGAGTGGGTTCGCTATCGCAGGAAGGCTGCCAGACATCGAGTAGTTACGCTCCGAACGTTGGCTGATTTTCTCTCGGGTATCGTCAAAGACGTAAGTGAGATTGTCGCGTACTGCGATACGACTGTTTCGAAAGCTTGTCGAGGATTCCGGAAGGAAAAAGGCAGAAAGGAGAACGAGGGATTTCTGCACACGCACGGTGCTGACGCAAACAGTGAAAGATGCCAATCATCGCGTTCGCAGCAGAGAGAAAAGAAACCCTGCAGGATATGCGGTCGTCTTGATTATTAGATCCGGAACAGTGAGACGTTTAGAAGACTTCGGATAACGGAAAGATGGGGGGCAGTTCGTAAGTGGCAGTTATGCTATTTGTGCCTGAACGAGCATGGAAATGCACGTTGCAAACTCAATTTTCGATGCAACGTGGGTCAGTGTAGTGAGCCACACAACCCTCTGCTGCATTTCGACCCGTCGCGCAAACCATCGGTGATAGTCCGGATGATTCCGGTAGCACTCTACAACGGAAGCTTTGCCGTGGACACCATAGCTTTCCTGGACGAAAGTTCTTCGTATACGTTGGTCGAGAAGTCACTGGCAAACTTATTGCGAGCAAAGGGGGTTGTGCAACCACTTCGAGTGACGTGGACAGCAGGAGTGACCCGATTGGAGAAGGATTCGAGAAGGATGGAGCTCTTTAATTCCGCACGAGGATCGTCACAACGTTTTCGTCACTTCCATTGGCACGAGTTACTCCAGGTTTACAGCCCTTCAGCTTCACTGGCGTTGACTACTGTGGGCCAATCACTGGTACCGTTGGACGTCGATCGGAAAAGTGGTGGATTTGTCTCTTCACTTGCCTAACAACGAGGGCAATCCATCATGAGGTCGCTCATAGCTTGTCAACTCAGTCGTGCCTGATGGCCATCCGACGTTTCGTTTGCCGAAGAGGCAAGCCGATCGAGTTTTTCTCGGATAACGGCACAAACTTCCAGGGCGCCAGCAAGCAGATTATGCAGAAGATTGAAGGAGACTTCGAGGAAGAGTTGACGGATTCCAGGACCCGCTGGAACACATGGGTGGAATTTGGGAAAGACTGGTCCGTTTGGTTAAAGCAGCATTGGTGGTTTTCAACGACGGAAGACGATTGACGGACGAAGTATTTCTAACTATGTTGGCAGAGGCAGAAGACTTGATCAATTCCCATCCGTTAACGTACTGTGGTCTTGAATCGGATGCAAACGAAGCCCTCACGCCAAATAACTTCGTCAAGGGTTTCGGGAACCACGGTAAAGCAGAACTAATTCCCAGCACGAACAAAGCTGATGCTTTGCGGAACAGTTTCAAATGGTCACAATCTTTGGCAGACCAGCTGTGGAAGAGATGGCTGACGGAATATCTACTCACGATCAACAAGCGATCGAAGTGGCATTCGGAGGCGCAACCAGTCAGTCGTGGAGATCTGGTTTACATCGCTGACGAAACCACACGAAAGACTTGGACGCGTGGCGTGGTAATTGAAGTCTACCCTGGAGCAGACGGCAGGATCAGGTAGGCGTTAGTGAAGACGGCGAAAGGAGAGTTCAGACGTCCCTTAACTAAGTTGGCGGTGCTGGAAGTTCAGGAGCGTAAATCTGATTACGTCGAGGGACCTTCACCAGAATTACGGGGAGGGGGTATGTGCGCACCGCCGAGCACTATCGATACACCTTGCGACGTTCGCATGTAACCTTGATTCCATATGTCAGTGAGGGAACGAGCAGAAAGGAATTGAAGGTGAGAGTGTGTGAGAATGGATAGAATAAGATAACCAAAAGATAAACAAACTGAGGAAAATAGTTATCAATAGCTTTGTATGGTAAAAGCGCGTTGCATCAAAAGGTATTAAAGATAATAAAATTATTCGTTCTATAGCAATCTGCAGTTTAGTATTCGGTGGGGTAACCGTACTACTTTCGGATTTATCTACTGGAAAACTCCTCCAAACGTAGCCTGGAAAGAAAGGAAGGTTAATTAGCGAAACTATAAATTTTCAAGTTTGTTCCTGGTTCGGAACTGTTGTAAAAAACCCAACTACTATCAACTGGATATTTGCAATATAATCAAGCGCTACCAGAAGGATGTCAGGATGAGTCACATATATTTCCGTCAACCTTAACACCAATGCAGTTGTTTATGTACAACAATCGAAAGGATATTTTATGATTCAATCCTATGCCTCAAAATATTCGATTCTGCAGGCCATTCATACTTGAATTTATCAAGGCGAGTAAAGAAGTTATTCTTGCTACTAAGCAAGATGTGAATTAACGCCAGTGAAAGTTAATGAGTGAATTAACGCCAGTGAAAGTTGAACTTTCGAACGACAAGTTTATACTTGTTGATTTCGATTTTCTCTTTAGTATGATAGACGGAAAAGTCCTTACTTATATTACTTGAAATTCATCGAAGTCCAACTCCAAACATAATGAATGACATATGTCGTTTTCGTTTTTGCGGTGTAGCTACACCGGTGCTACACTGCCGTACACCGAAATATTTTAGGGTGTAGATTTAGGATGCACCTTTGTTTACCAACAAATGATGTTGAGCTGTCAAAGACTCGCGCTTATTCCTGCTTACACTACACCGGTGCTAAACCGCAAAAACGAAATCGACAATAGATAATTTTGAGGAAGGATTTACATCAAACGAAAAGGCATTACGGCATATCTCAACTGCATGCTTGGATACGATTTTTTTAATGCCTTTTGCATATTGCATATAGGATGGATATAAAGTAATGGAAGGTCACGACACCATAAAAGGAACTATGTGTAGAAAGAAAAAAAAAAAAATGTAACGACACAGCTTTACGAAAATTTGGAGTAAGAGTAGATCAACCAAGCGTACGGTTTCCTTGATCTTCCTCAGGAAAGTGGTCCGCGGCTGGAACCATTCCTGCTGCCAGGCTTCCATAATAGTATTCACAATTCAACGCCTGACGTCTAGGAGGGGTACGTTCCTGGTGTAGCGGGGACCGGATGCACCAGATCGCGCCAGTCTGTCCGCAGCCTCGTTTCCGGGAACACCGCAGTGTCCGGGGATCCACGTAAAGACGGTTGAAGGTGGGGCGAACCGTGTAATGGCTTGAATCCAAGGGTGGCTCGGGGCTTCGGTTTCCAGCGCTTGGATGACGCTGTGTGAGTCAGTTAACACGAGGATCGGTTGATCTGCCGGAGTGATGGCTGCGTCTAGAATAGATGTGACTTCAGCGGAAAAGACGGAACACTCCTCCGGTAGACTAAGACTCGTTGCAGTGTTCAGTCCTGCCACTCCGAGTCCAAATCCAGCCCGCGACCGCGATCCGTTCGTAAAGCCATGAACGTGCCCCGAATAAACCGACCCGGGAAGCTCTGCAACAGAACGTCTCAAAGCTACAGAGTTATCTTCAACTTGGAATCCACTATTAATTCACTTATCTATTTTGACGACGTTTGATCGGCAACTCTTATCTCCATGCCAGTGGACCCTGGCCACCGGGGGGAGGTCACAGTTGGCAGCAGTGCGGAGGGCTCTGTTCCCCTCGTTGAGGAGAAAGACCCTTTCGTTCCCGGATGTCTTTGCAGCGAGGGCGGCGGCTTTCGTAGCAATGGCTGCAGCAGATCGATAGCGGAAAGGGAGGATTCCAATTTCCACACATGCGGCGTCTGCAGGCGTGGAAGGGAGAAGGCCGGATACGATGCGTACGTAGGTATTGTATACCGGAGCGAGGATGTGGTTGAGCTTCTCGGTGGTTAAGCAGGTTGTTTCGAGGCCGTAGAAAAGTCGACAGTCGATAACAGCCCGAGCGACACGAAGGCGGATCTCACGGTTGCTGGAGCGATGCGGGCGGGTGATTGTCCTGACTATGTTAATGTGGCTACTACAGTTTTTTTTTCACCATCCTGAAGTGCTGGTTGAAGCTTAGGGTGCGATCCAGTACTACCCCCAGAACACGCACTGTTTTCTTGAGCGGAATCGGATGATCTTGGATGGTGATCGGTGGTCCTCGAATCAGATGGCCAGAGTGACAGATATGGCACCGTACACTCTCGGCGCGGAGAGCTGGAAACCAACCGAAAGCACCCACCTGCTGACGGCGGAGACTGCTGCTTGAGCTATGTCCTGGTCCGCGATGAGTATGTTGTCGGCATAAACGATTACGTGTACGTTCTTGGGAAATCGGCTGAATACCCCGTTCATTGCCACCAGGAATAGCGTTACTGCTATGACGGATCCCTGAGGCACTCCAGTTTCTTCGGGGAACGGATCCGAGCGAGTGTTCCCGACGGTCACCTGGAAGGTATGATCAAGGAGGAAATTCCGTACAAAATGTGTGATGTGACCTTCCAAGTCCCAGCCGATGAGCTGCTTGATGACACAGGTGTCCATGTCCTGTTGAACGCCTTTGAAATATCAAGGGAGACTAGCTCCGCATGGTGACCGTTGTCCTGGGCTTCCTTACGTACTTTTTCGAGGGCTGCAAAGTAAGTGGAGGAGCCGTGTCCTTGCCGGAACGCATGCTGCCGTTCGTCAAGGAGGCCGTTTGACTCCAGGAACTGCTTAAGGCGACGATTTACCATTCTCTCCATCACTTTTGCCGCGCAGCAAGTGAGCGCAATCGGTCGAAAGAAGGAAGCTTCTTCACTCGCCGTGTTGTTTTTGGAATGGGCACAACCAAGCTTTATTTCCAGAGGTCCGGATACAGGTCAGTGAGCCATAGATCGTTGAATATGGCGAGTAGCCTCGTTTTTCCGTCGAGCGAAAGGTTTTTGAACACCCAGTTTTTTCAACTGCCGAGGGTAAATTGAAACTCCCGGAAGGTAAGAGCTCCGTTGATCTGGAGAGCAGGAACATCGGGTGGAATTCGAAAGTCGCGAATGCTGCTTGTGGAAGGTTTGACGCGCTGGACGAAATCGCTGTCGTAGCCACTGACAGCAGACAGGCCGGTCAAATATTTTCCAAATTCGTCGGCGATGTCCTTCGGTTCTGAGACCGAGGTGCCATGAGCTTGGATAGTAGGTGGAGTAGACCGCCGCTTGCCACTCAGAGCGTTGACGTGATTCCACAATTCACTCGACGATTGAGATTCGTCGATTTAATCCAGGAAATCCATCCTAGATCGCTTTGCAAGAGAGATGGCGTTCTCGGTAAAACTTCAGCGCTTCCTCTCTACCAGGGTTATCTAAGGCGAGACGCTTAAGCCGGCGTAAAGCTTTGCGTCGCGCTTTCACCGCACATTTGGTATCCTCGTTCCACCAACGTATAGCTTTTAGCCCAGCTACGCTACCCGTCCTTGGGATAGATACTGTTGCAACTTCGTAGAGTACTTCGGTGAAGCTCGAGATGTCGTTCGGATCGCGTTGCTGAAGGAGAGCGTCGGATTTCTCCCTGAAGGCGTCCCAGTTGGCTTCCTTGTAGCGCCACCTGGGTCTCCGAGTCGTTGGAGGGGCCGCGCCTACGGAAAGCTGTATGCGGATCGGGTAATGGTCACTACCATGCAGGTCGTTACTGATATTCCACTGTGTCCTGTTCGCGATAGATCAACTGGCAGTGGCAATGTCGATCGCGGTGGTGTGCCGTCCATTAAAAAAGGTGGGCGCTTAAATTTTATTCTCTAAAATTTAAAACAATCGAAATTTAAGCCCTTTTCAAAAGTTAGTCATTAAATCTTGAAAAATGTCTATAAGCAATGTCTATTGATGAAACCAAGCAAGACATGATCCAAATTTCCCATCCTTAAATTTTTTTTGCATTATCATTTTGTTTTGGTGTCCTTTCAGTATGGGGTTCACCCATTTTTTTCAAATTGTTTCGAGCATTCTGGTTGCCTACTTCAAAGGCGCAAATTTATTCCAAACATAGGGTTGTTAACACTCCGATTAGGAATTTTGATCTATTTTCCGTCCTACTAAGCACAACCCGCGCTTTACCTCTCTTTTCTGAACGAGTTTAAACTCAAAAAACTGTAATATTTCTTTAAAAGATGACTTCTAAATTTATTCACCTTTCCATACGTACCGTTGGATTTGATAAAGAGTCACAAATTGTTGAGATATTGTTTAAAATCTAATACTGTTTCTTGATTCTAAATTCGTTCTACGAGTTTCAATTCCGTCCAAACGCATTGAAACGACATTATATTTTCTTCGTCCTACGGATAAACGTAGAAAAAGGGGATTCATTAGGAGCGCCTCTATTGTTTTGAGAACAATGAGCGTAAATAGGGGAAAATTATGTAATGTCGGCCTAATTGCTCCTAATTTGGGCCCATACATAAATTCAGCAATCGACTAAATTTTTGATAGCGAACAAAAATTTCCATTAGTACCGTCCCATTTCATCTAGATAAAATTGATAAATAGCAAATTTTTAGCGATGGGCCCAATCTTAGATTGATAGGCCAACATTAGAGCCATTTCCCCATTCATACATTGCGCTCTAACAGGATTTTTGTTGTAGCTAATGAACTAACGCATCGGAACAAACCTTATATTGATTTGTGCACGGTGAAATCATTGATGTTATTGATCTTTTCTGATCGATAGAACGGGAATGGGCGATTACGACGAATCAGCGCTCTACCCTATGTATTACAAAAAATATCGTTCAATTCGCAGATTTCTGCCACCGCAGTTACGCTTCGCTTTCGTGATATATTTTTTTCGGAGATTTCGATTCGTACATTTCGCGGATTAAAAATCGTTGCGCTTCGCGTCGATCTTAACAAATCTCATATTGCATATCCTTAGTGCGGACACAATAGATTGGCGCATTTCGCGCCAAATCGTATTCGAAGCTGGCAGCACCCTCTCAGATTTCAATGAAATTTTCTAGATGTGTAGACTTTGACTAAATAAGCACTTTTGCATACTTAGTTGTTCCAAAATTTATCTAGACTAACGTTTGAGAAGGGCCAAACTTTAACTGCCGATTTTTTTCAAAAAAATATTATGGAAAAATGACAACTCCTACAACAATGTGTTGTATGAATGACTTTTAGGAAATTGTCCAAGTTATCGGACTTTTTCATGTCTGAACTGATTTTTTTTTTGATTTGCCATTTTCACACAAAACTAAACCAGTGAAGCTCAAAATCATCTCAGAATCTAATGAAGCTCAATTTGCGATTCAATTTTGTCTAATCAGCACTTAAGTTCACTTTGATTAATCGAGAATTTCATATGAAAAGGGCTCATGATGCATTTCTCGCCAAATCGTATTTGGAATTGGCAGCACCCTCTCAGAGTTCAATAAAACTATTTGGACATGTAGACCTTGTCAAAAAATATTATTCCCTTATTCTGTTGTCTACTACTGATGCAAAAATTTGATAATATGTGAGAGAAAAAAGTCAAGATTTTTCATATATCATTTATCTATATATTTTCAATGTTTTAAACCTATTTTCATACATGCTATTTTTTCCTTTTGCCAATCAAGTTAAATATTTTTGGTTCATCTTCTGAATTAGAATACCTTTTTGCCGCTACTTTGTCACCAGTTATAGGCACACTGGCACTGTGGAATTTCTGTGTGCCAGATATTGTCTTTGTGTTGTTATATAGTTCTTCGAGTTCTTCTGACATTTCGATGTACTGTTCAGTGGATATGTACTCAAAACGTAGTTTTGTGATATTTGTATCTGTTTGTTCAACTGCCCAGTTATATAATTCTCGTGGAGTTGTTATGGTGTTTCCATAATCTTGTAAACCCCTCAGCTACTCAGTGGAAAAAGTTATCAACAGGGTCGGAAGGAAGGAATACGGTATACCACTCTCACTCTTCAATCTATGCTGTCAGTAGTAACTCACGACGATAGGGTATTGTCCATAAACAGGGCAAAGGGGAAAGAAAACATGAATGATTCACTTATGGTTTTCTATGCTCAAAAGCCACAGAGTCAATTTCCTACTGAATAAACCACAAAGGGAGGGAGGCATGAAGACTCCTTTCGAGTCCGGAGAACGATACACAAAAGAAATGGTAGTGAGATTTTCAACTAGTATGAAAAGTTCTGGACTAAGAAAATTACATGTACAATAGCATTATATTCTAGATTTTACGATACATAGTTTTTAACATTGTGACGTCACATTTTACTTGCGGTTTGGCTTCGTTTTCGGGGTTTCTCGGCAGTGGCGGTGGTGGTGGCGATGGGGCGATGGTGGCGGTGATGAAGCGGGTGGTGGTTATTCTGGCGAATCACTAATTGGTCTAATTCTGGTGACTGCGTGGCGATTGCGTGATAACTCGCCCGGTGCATGCAGTTCGCGGAGCGGTGGCAACCAAAACAGCATAGAGGGTGGCGGAAGAGAAAGAAGCGGGACGATATTGGCTCGTTAGAACCCGCGGTAGCGACTGCTGCACTGCTCCAAGCTGGTTCTCCTGAACCCAGCTGGAGGACCAATCCCGAACGCGTGTCACAATGGACTTACCGCTGCAACGTGGCCTTTGCAAAATGGCTTCGCTAATAATGCCGGGCTTGTCCTTTGACCTCGAACACAATGGCGCTCGCTCCAGGACAAATGCTGCCAAAGAAAAGAAAAAGGCCCTTTGTGGACCTAACCACGCTTATTAGCACCTCGCCATACACATTTAATTAGCCTGCCCCTTTCAAAACCAAACCAACCACATAATTACTCATACAATACATAATTTTTTTCACAAATTTACAATAAATGTACATAAATTTACCTTTTCTTTTAGAATTATCTGCACGGTAACAGTCAACCGTCAGTTTGGGGTGACAATTGGTCGAACTACCCTAACATTAAAGAACAATATAACACATTATTTTCAGTTCTAATTTTACAGCTAGCACTACTAACCACTTTTACTAACGAAATTTTTAAACACGACTGACACTACTAACTTTTCTTTTTACTAGCCCTAGACCTGTAATTAAACAAAACACACTATTTAAAAAAAACCACACTACACATTTTTACCTCGCCCTTTCAGCGAACCTTTGGGAAAATTAGCACGTCGCGCACTGAGTCTGTTCCCGAGTGCGGTTGAAACAGAATTAACCTGACTCCTGCTAACATGCCAAGCAATAATCCGCAAAAAACCACGAAATACGAGCAGACCCGAAATGTTGCTGTATTTACATATTTATTTCACCCGTCGTTGTCTCTCCCCTTACCCCATATATGGACAACCTTTTCGGCAGAGCGCCTGCTGTCAACCAGTTTGATGAGAGTGAGTGGTACCGCAGGCGAATGGAAAGGTATGGGAAAGTGAGCGACCAACAGCAGAGTTGGATTTAGGACATTCTACAACACTGTTATACAGTCGATTATGAGTGCACTTGTGATAGAGTCACAAGCCCACATTATGGAACCATCGGTTACAATACCCCTCCGACCGCCTGAAAATGATACATGCATCATTTTCCTTGAATGAATTACCAATAAAAAACCTACTTTTTCTATCTTTTTACCTTGGGTAAGAAACAAAAACTATCTTTACGGTATTGTTTACATCGCATCTATGCTTTCTCTTCCTCTCTGGAAGAGCAAATAAAACGATGTTTACTCTCTTTTCTTAAACTATCAAATCGTTCCAGTGCGTGAGTGAT